GAGTGCCAAGTGAAGAATATTGGCACTAGTTATGAAAGAGTGATAGTTGAAAATAGGTGGCACTAGTTATTAAGATTGTCAAAGGAGATGCGGCAGGATAACTCGGCGGGTGTGCCACTAGTGAGGTGTGGTGGCACTAGTCACGATGGATGCCACTGGAGGAGATATTGGCACTAGTCACCTGAGTCCCATTAAAGGGTTGAGCATTAGTCAGTAGAAGTCACACAAGAGTGATGGTGGCGCTAGTCATCGTGAGTGCCATTAGAGGAGTGCCTGGCATTAATCACCATTAGGAGTACCACTTGAGGGACTGTTGCAATAGTCACTAGGTGTACCAATAGTCTGTAAGAGTGCCAGTAATCAGCAGGGAGGAAACAGCAGTAGTAACAGTGCCAATAATCAGCAGGGAGGAAACGGCAGTAGTAAGAGTGCCAATAATCAGCAGGGAGGAAACAGCTGTAGTAAGAGTGCCAATAATCAGCAGGGAGGAAACAGCAGTAGTAACAGTGCCAATAATCAGCAGGGAGGAAACGGCAGTAGTAAGAGTGCCAATAATCAGCAGGGAGGAAACAGCTGTAGTAAGAGTGCCAATAATCAGCAGGGAGGAAACAGCTGTAGTGCCAATAATCACAAGGAAAGTCAGTAGAGATATAGCAGTAGTCAGCTAGAGAAGGTCCACAATCAGATGACACTCTAGAGGAGGGCTAGAGAGTAAGTGGGTGCCAATTATTATTTGGTATTCTTTAGAGTAGGGTTTGTAAGGTTATTATAAAAGTAAGTTAGGATGGGTGAGGGGTGGAGGAGGAGGAGGAGTAGAGGGAGTTAGGTGAGGAGGAAGAGGTGGTGGAGGAGGATGAGTGGAGGAGGAGGAAGATAAGGATGAAAGAAAGTAGTGTAGTAAGGGTGGAAGAGAGAGAGAGAGAGAGAAATGAACGACTGAATAATGAAAAACACCCACAAAATATTACTCATAAATTCACTCATAACTTATAATCTGACCTAGCTCATAACTTTACTCATAACTATTCTCACAACTCATAACTACAATTGTATCTTTACTCATAAATCATAACTTTACTTATGATAAAACTTATAACTAAAAAATATACTTGAACTCATAACTCCATCTCATAACTCACCAGTCTACTCACATCTCTACTCATAACTCACAAGTCTACTCACATATCTACTCATAACTCACAAGTCTACTCACATCTCTACTCATAACTCACAAGTCTACTCACATCTCTACTCATAACTCACAAGTCTACTCACATCTCTACTCATAACTCATAAGTCTACTCACAGCTTTACTCATATCTCATAACACACAACTTTACTCATAAATCACAATTCTACTCACAACTTTATTCATAACTCACAACTCACAATTCTCAAATTTACTCATAAATTACAATTCTATTCACAGCTTTATTCATAATGCACAACTTTACTCATAAATCATAACTCACAACTTTACTCACAAATCTACTCACAACTCTACTCATAACTCACAACTCTACTCACAACTCACAACTCTACTCACAACTCACAACTCTACTCACAAGGAACAACTCTACTCATAACTCACAACTCTACTCACAACTCACAACTCTACACACAAGGCACAACTCTACTCACAACTCTACTCACAACGCACAACGCATAACTCACAACTCTACTCATAACTCACAACTCTACTCACAACTCACAACTCTACTCACAAGGCACAACTCTACTCACAACGCACAACTATACTCACAACTCACAACTCTACTCACAATGCACAACTCTACTCACAACTCACATCTCTACTCACAACTCTACTCACAACGCACTACTCACAACTTGTCCAGTTTGGTCAGTGTTCACAAGGGAAAGATTTAAGCCACCTGGCCTCGGGGATTATGTTCTGGCAACACTGTTTGTTCTGAGCCTGAGTCACTATCCTGTCTGAGTCACCATCCTTTCTGAGTCACCATCCTTTCTGAGTCACCATCCTGCCTGAATCACCATCTTTTCTGAGTCACCATCCTGCCTAACTCACCATCCTGCCTGACTCGCCATCCTGCCTGACTCACCATCCTGCCCGAGTCACCATTCTGAGTCACCATCCTGTCTAGGTCACCATCCTGTCTGAGTCACCATCCTGCTTGACTTACCATCCTGCCTGACTCACCATCCTGTCTGAGTCACTATCTGAGTCACCATCCTGTCTGAGTCACCATCTTGTCTGAGTCACCATCCTGTCTGAGTCACCATCCTGCTTGACTTACCATCCTGCCTGACTCACCATCCTGTCTGAGTCACCATTCTATCTGAGTCACCATCCTGCCTCAGTCACCATCCTGTCTGAGTCACCATCCTGTCTGAGTCATTATTCTACCTGAGTCACCATCCTGCCTGACTCACCATTACTCGACAGCATCAGATTAAATCATTGTACTGTAGCTCTTATGAGGTTCACTGTAGGTTAACTTAATGGTACCTGTTTCCCCGTGTCTGTACCTCTACCTGTACCGTCTACGGATTCTGTACCTGTAATAATTGATGTATTTATCTGAAATCTGTTTTTTTACCTGTTTTCTATAGTTAAATCGGTGTCTGTAAAGGATGATTTGTGTGAGTGTGGAATCTGCGTCTGGATTTATTCTTTATGGCTAAATTGGTACCTGTAGTAGTAGTAGTAGTAGTAGTATTAGTAGTAGTAGTAGTAGTAGTGGCGTCAGTCGGGCCCCTCCTGCAGTAACACACCACCGTCAAGGTCCTAGGATAATCTGGTGTCAGCCCTGCAAGATGCTGGTAATTTGAACCTCGGACTACCATTTTAAGACGGCCGGTGGGTAGGGAGTGGGGGGGGGTGGATGGGGATTAGCGAGGGCGTGCGTGGGCGGGTGAGGGCAAGAGAGGGTGGGCGTGCAGGGGGACACAGCCCATTAACCCCCCAGGAAAGTCCGAATGCGAAGGGGAGGTAGGTAGGAGGGGTGAGGGATGGGACCTTGTGGTGGTGATAATTGCTTGGTTTATGTCTTCACCAGGGCCGGGGTTGCGTGAGGCAGGTATCTACTGAGGCAAATATTTACCCCCTTGTGTTTTACCTGTCCCTCCCCCCTCCCCCCCTCTCTCTCTCTCTCTCTCCTCTGTTGTATTAAGTCATTGGGGTAGGTTAAGCCAGTGATTAGAGTATGTATGCATGTATGTATGTATGTATGTATGTATGTATGTATGTATGTATGTATGTATGTATGTATGTAATTAACACAGCTCAACATTAAGACATTTTTTTCTTGATACCTGTCTAACTAACTAACACGAGTGGACATAATGGTCAGCCAGTACTGTACCCTTGACCCGGATCTAAGAGGTGTAAATACTCTCTAGGTTCACTATGCCGGGAACTCAACCCGGATTTAAGTGATTTAATGAGTGGGTTTTGAAGCTTCTACCTGAGATATAGGAAAATAATATTAAATTGTTATATATATTTTAGCTCGTGTGTGTGTGTGTGTGTGTGTGTGTGTGTGTGTGAGTGTGTGTGTGTGTGTGTGTGTGAGAGAGTGTGTGTGTGTGTGTGTGTGTGTGTGTGTGTGTGTGTGTGTACAGAGACAGACAGCGACTGAAAAATAAAAAAAGAGAAACAAAAACAAAAAGATAAACAAATAAAAAAGAGATAAAAGGAAAGAGAAAGAGAAAAAAAAGAGAATAGAGGAGAAGGATGAAAGAAGAGAAGAAGAAGAGGAGGGAGAAAGGAAGAGGAGGAGGAGTAATAAAAGGAGGAAGAGAAGAGGAAGGATTAGCAGATAAAAACAGAGAAGCAGAAAGAAAATAATTAGAGAACAATTATAATAAGAAGAAGAGAGAAATGATGAAGAGGAAGAGTAAGAAGAAGAAGAAGAAGAAGAAGAAGAAGAAGAAGAAGAAGAAGAAGAAGAAGAAGGATTAGCAGATAAAAGTCTAACCCTCCCCCCTCCCCATCCCCCCTTCCCCTCCTCTCCCCCTCAAAAAAAAAAGACACCTCGCCTCCCACTACCGACGAAGCATTAATCTAGCTTACTGGAGCCCCGTTGGATGGTTCATGGTTGCTTAATACCGCCATGTTTAGCTGTGTGCATGGGTGGGTGACGCTCCAGATCACATCCCTCCTTCTCACCTCAACACCCCCTCTCCCCCTCCCCACCTCCCCTTCTCTCCTCTCTCTTCCCCAACCTCACCCCTCCCAAGTGTCTCCCAGCTACAAGTGCTCAGCCCAGACCTTAGGGATAACGAAGGCTGGGGGTGGGAGGGTGGGGGGTGGGGAGGGGTTAAATGAGGGGAGGGAAGCTAGTAGGGTGGTGGTGGGGGGGGTTGGTTGGTTGGTGGAGGACAAGGGAGGTGGGTGGGGTTAGATGAGGGGGGAAGGGGTTTAGGGAGGTGAGGGGTGGAAGGTGGGTAAGGGGGGGTGGAAGGTGGGTAAGGGGGGGTGGAAGGTGGGTAAGGGGGGTGGAAGGTGGGTAAGGGGGGTGGAAGGTGGGTAAGGGGGGGGTGATAGTAGTAGTGGTAATTGTGGCTGTAAGTAAACAAAGATTCACAGACGAGGGTAAACAGACCACATGCGTTCTCTCAGGCTGGGTCTGTTGAGTACAGTGCATCAAACATTGACTCTTAGAACTCACCTGCGATTCACAAGACAACAACATAAACCTTTGTTGACGCTTACAAAAAAAATCTATGGTAATTTTTTGATACTTTGAATTTGATTTAGAAAACGGTGTACATTTTTCTTATGTGAAGTTCATAAATTAGACTTTATTTTCTATTCAACGTATCACCTAACCACGTGCAGTCCCCAAAATCACATATCCACGTCGTAATTAACATATCCATCCTTTTTAAACTATCCACACCTATCTACATACCAAAATCACCAATCCACGTCCCTTATAAACTAACAACACCTATCCATGTATCCAAATCCCATCTATCCATGTCCCAATTAACATATCTATCCTTCTCTCCAACAGGTAAGAACATCCCTCTACACGTGGTGATTGAAACTATCCCCCTCTGTGGTGTGGGGATGGGGATAGAAGAGCTACGGGGGAGGGTAGAGATGGATAGCTACGCCCTCATCCCTGGACACACCCGCTTCACCGACCTCCTGCAGTCAGCTCTGGTCAAGTTGGGTTACTCGGAGGAACTGACCCATGCAAGAGGTAAGTCCCGTGTGTGTGTGTGTGGGGAGAGATTTTTTGTATTGGATTGATTTTCTTCTTAGTGACGTTTTGAATATTTATTTTTTCCTCTGTGTCTTCAACTTTTTTTTTTCTTCCTGTAACTTAAATTTTCTTTCTTTTTCTTCCTGTAATTTTAGTTTTCTTCTTTATTTTACATGTAACTTCTTATTTTTCCTGTAACTTCCACCTTCCTCCTCCTGTAACTTCCACCTTCTTCCTCCTGTAACTTCCACCTTCTTCCTCCTGTAACTTCCACCTTCTTCCTCCTGTAACTTCCACCTTCCTCCTCCTGTAACTTCCACCTTCCTCCTGTAACTTCCACCTTCCTCCCGGTCCTTCAGTATGCCTCTCATTTCCTATACCTCATCAGCCTTTGCTCAGTAACTTGTAGATAAACGAAATTTGAAAACTGTGTGTGTGTGTGTGTGTGTGTGTGTGTTACCCCCATCTGTGAATACTTGGGATCATCAGAAGATTAACATTCCTAACCTAACCTAACCTAACCCCTCCCCTCTCTGCAGGTAGCATTAGGGTGGTTAATCATCAGGTGAGATTAATCTAGAGGGCAAATCTTCAGGTAATCCGGTGCTCGTTCTTGTAGTGTTCCTCTAACCTTTTCCTCCCTCCTCCTCCTCCTCCTCCTCAAAAAGGTCAAAGGTCACCAAAAATACACAGTTTGGGTTTTAGGGTCACTACAGTCCCCAGTCATATGTGAGAGAGACGGGAAAGGGGAGGGAAGTGAAGGGAAAGGAAGGGAAGGTATGGGGTGGGGTGGGGTGGTGGGGGGAGTTATATTTATCTCTTTAATTATACACTACTTCACAACTAAGAAACTGTACGTGACTTTGTGTAATTGGTGACCGAGTCTCTGAGACCTGTAGTGTGACCTGGCTTATCTGAGAGCTCTTATTATGGCTCTCTGTTTACATACACGTAATGGTAATAATGATGATAATAGTAATAGTAATAATAATAACTACAAGAACAACAACAACAATTACTACTATTACTATTACTATTACACACACACACACACACACACACACACACCTTCCTCTTTCACCTCTTTCCATTTCCCTCATTCCCCTTCATCTTTCATTTCTACCTACGCCCTTCCCCTCCTCTTCCCCTTGCCCCTCTTTCCTTCCCCTGCCTCCTCTCTTCCTACCTACCCCCCTTCAACCTCCTCCCTGCCACACTGCCCCACCAGCCAGCGCGAGGAACAGTATGACAGTCACCTCCTAGTTAATATTACCTGATCATATTCCACAAATTACCCCTGAAGAGTGTTTCCCTACTGCTGCCTGCCCTGAGTTATTGCCTCCTGTAACCGGTATTACAGCTTCGGCAACTCCTATTTAGTATCACCTGAGTATCACCTGGAGTGTCACCTGAGCATTACCTGTGTATTTGAGTATCACCATAATATCACCTGTGTATCATCTGAGTATTATCTGCGTATCACCTGAGTATCACCCGAGTATCACCTGAGTATCACCTGTATTTATAAAGTATGGGGGTCATTGGTGCCTTAATCTATAGATAGTCAGAGGAACGTACAGTACTGTCACATCACACCTACACGGGGATAGAGTTTATACCTGGTGAGTGAACCCATATGACAGATATACATTATTATAGAAAGGTGTATCGTGTGTCAGAAAGCCTCTTAACTCTACAGTAGTGGAGACCGTTTAACCTAACCTAACCTAACCTAACCCAAACCCAATTTAACCTAAACTAACCCAACTTAACCTAATCTAATGTTAATCACTTTTTGACCCCGACGTTCTTGAGAGGGTTATCATCTCGTATCTCTCGTCTCCTACAGGTCTTCTGCAGCTGAGGAACTGGCGGCCGCTACCCCTCGAACACATCCCTGAGACGGAGGACAAGACCGTGGCCGAGGTGCTGTGTGACGTTGCCCCTCTCGCCACCCTACACGTCCGTATCTACAGGTAGGTACAATGTCCTTCTCCCTTAATAATAATAATAATAATTAATAATAATAATAATAATAATAATAATAATACTACAGTAATAATAATAACAAATACACTAGAAATTTATTTTTTTTAGTCTGTATTTTGCTGTTATTGTTATACACGGTACACGGATAAACTGCTTCTGTATATATTTGCAAAGCTAGAGAGAGTCCTGATGTGTGTGTGTGTGTATGAATATATATGTACAGTATATGTGTGTGTATGTGTTTGTGTAAGTTTATATGTTTGTGTATGTGTATATGTGTATTTCTGTGAATGTGCATCTGTGTATATGTGTTTGTGTGAATGTATGTACAGTATATGTTTGTGTATGTGTGTGTATGCGTGTGGATGTGTGTGTGTATGTGTGTGCGTCTTTCATTTTTTTCCCACGCGTTATATATATATTTTTCGTGTACAATATTAGCAAGGCTTCGCAGGCGGATGACAGCTGAGCGGGTGGAGTTTCAGATAGGAAAAAAAAGAAAGAAAAAAGAGAGAGAGAGAGAGAGAGAGAGAGAGAGAGAGAGAGAGAGAGAGAGAGAGAGAGATGAAAAATATATATTTACTTGTAACGCGCGAATTTTTGGACAAGGCGGAGGAGGAGGAGGAGGTAAGGGGGGGAGGAGGAAGAGGGAAGGAGGTGAGAGGGGGGGTAAGGGGGTAGATAGGAGGACGGACGGGGGGAAGAGTGAAGGAGGAAGGAAGGAAGAAGAGAGGGAGGGGGTAGGGGTGAGAGGTGAGGCAGAAGGTACACTACTGTTACATAAGAACATAAGAAAATAAAGAGTCTGCAGTAGGCCGGTTGGCCTGTGCATGGCAGCTCCTGTCGAGAGTTACTACCACTCTCTATCATCCATGAATCTATCTAGCCTCCTTTTGAAACTTTCCAGAGTTCCCGCACTTACTACAAAGTTGCTAAGCTTGTTCCACTCATCTACCAATTCATTTGTAGAACCAGTTTCTTCCATTCTCCTAAACCTAACCTTATCCAATCTTTAAATCCGTTAGTTTTTGAGTCCCATCCTGCTCGGATATTATAAGAACTTTATCTATATCCCCTTTATTGATTCCTTTCACCCACTTAAATACTTCTATCATATCTCCCCGCACTCTTCGTCTTTCTAGGGAATGCAAGTTAAGTTTCTTTAACCTATCCTGATATCGAAGGTTTCTAAGTCCCGGAATCATTTTTGTCATTCTTCGCTGCACCGACTCCCATTCTATAATAGGCACCAGAACTGAACCGCATAATCGAGGTGCGGCCTGATATACATACATGTTTACTAGACCTTAATACCTACGAACCTATGTATATTCAAGTCACGGCTCGAGTCTCTGTTTATACATGTGTACTTCATCAGAGTATACATGAGATACATACAAGTCAAATTAGTAAGTGTGATTATGTATTCTTTGTTACTATTGTGTGTATGTATGTATGTATGTATGTATGTATGTGTGTATGTATGTATGTATGCATGTATGTATGTATGTGTGTATGTATGTATGTATTTTTTATCTTTTCTTTACATCCTTCGTTTTCTTTTTTTGCTTTACGAGAGAGAGAGAGAGAGAGAGAGAGAGAGAGAGAGAGAGAGATAAAAAGAGATACAAAGACAAAGAAAGAGACACAGACAAAAAGAGTGAGAGACATAGAGGGACAAAAAAGGATGAGAGACAGAGTGAGACAGAAACAAAAGGAGTGAGATACAGAGATAGAGAGACAGAGTGAGACAGAAACAAAAAGGGTGAGAGACATAGAGAGAGACAGAGACATAGAGAGAGACAGAGAGACATAGACAGACAGAGAGACATAGACAGACAGAGAGACATTGTGAGAGACATAGAGAGAGACAGAGACACAGAGAGAGACAGAGAGAGATATAGACAGAGAGACATAGTGAGAGACAGAGAGACATAGTGACAGTGAGACATAGAAAGAGACAGAGAGACATAGATAGAGACATAGAGAGAGACAGAGACACAGAGAGACATAGTGAGAGACAGAGACACAAGGAGGCAGAGAGACATAGAGAGAGACAGAGACAGAGAGAGTCGTGCAGGATCATAAGAAGGAATAAACCTCTGCTGGGATAATCCTGTGTAGGCGTTAAGCTTCGCATTAGGGTCCTGGTCATGAAGACGTTCACCTCCCCCCTTACCCCCCTTACCCCTTATCCCCTTATTCTGTACTCCCTTAATCCCTTACCCTCTTAATCCCTTTACCCCTTTAACCCCTTATTCTGTACTCCCTTAATCCCTTACCCCTTAACCCCTTATTCTGTACTCCCTAAATCCCTTAACCCCCTTAACCCTTACCCCTTATTCTGTACCCAGTTACACCCCTTAACCCCCTAGCCCTACCCCTTTTTGCCTAACTTCTTTACTCGTTAACCCCTTTAACCCTTTATCTGCACCCCTTTAATCTTTTTAACCCCTTATCCCCTTACACCCCTTAACCCCCTTAACTTACCCCCTTACCCCTTAACCTCTTACCCCTACTATTCCCCCTTCCCCTATCTCCCCTTGGCTATATATATTTGTGTCATGAATATTTGATTCCCCCTTCCCCTTTCTCCCCCTTTGGCTCTATATTTGCAAGCTCATGAAGCCATACTTCCCTTCTTCCCCCTTCCCCTTACCCCCACCCCTTCCCCCTTCCCTTCCCTCTCCTCACTCCTCCCTCCCTCCCTCCCCATGGTCCCAAATAGGGTATGGAAGGGGAGGGGGAGAGGAGGAAGGGGAAGAAAGGAGAGACGGGAGGGAAGGGGAGGGGAGAGGAAGGGTAGGGGAAGAGGTGTGGTGAAGGGAGGGGTTATTGTACCATTGTTCCACGACTTAATGACGTCACCTGAACGAAGTGGGAAGCTTTTGGTGCCATTATTAAAGTCTTTTTGACATTTTTGTACCATTGTTCCACTTTTTGAGATTATATGCCATTGTTCCACGATTCTGTGACGTTAGTTGATGAAGGAGGGAGGGTTGTACATCATTGTCCAAATCCTTGTGAGTTTTTGTTCCATTGTTCATTATCCACGGGTACTAGAAAAAAATCCACCTTTTGTACCATTTATAGTATCGTGAGGATAAAACAGCAAGATATTAGTCATGTACAATTGTTCCAAGTCCTTGTGAAGCTAACGATGTAAAATGTTCAGATTTCTGCACCGACGTTCCAAGAATTTATGATACCAGGAATTCGATTTTTTTTGTACCACCGCGTCTAAAAACCACAAATGGGTGATAATGAGGAATGATCTTGCATTTGTACCATGAAAGGAAGATGGTAAAAGAGAGAGAGGAAGAGGAGAGAGAGAGAGAGAGAGCGAGAGAGAGAGAGAGATAGTGTGCACGGAGGGGAAGAGGAAGGTGGGACTCATTCATCATTGTACCATTGTTCCAAAATACCCGTCAAAAGCTAAGTACGAGGGCGTATAGAGAGGCATTCATTTATACTGTTCCATCAAGGGTACAAATTCCCCCCCCCCCCACCCCACTGAGTCTTCACAGCGTCCTTGATTCTCTTAATCGATAGAACATCACGTACTGATTTCTAAGTCAGTAGTTGAGTCTAGATTTACAACCGTATTAATAACAACAACAACCAAAACGATAACTTACCCCCACCCTTACGACGACACTTTCAGTTAAGGATTTGTGTTAAAATATATACTACTACTACTACTACTACTACTACTACTACTATTACTACTACTACTACTACTAATAATAATAATAATAATAATACAATTCACAATACAACAAGGGAAGGGGAAGAGACAGTAAAAACATCACACCGCCCGAAAGATTTTTAAATCACTCTTGAATTTCGAGCCAGTGAATCAGTAGAAGAATGGTAATCCACATACCGTCGGACTTAATCCCAAGTATAAAGGCTCCAATCCCACGTTGCGTCACGAAGCGGGATCTAATCCGCGAAACCCTACACGCTCGACGCAGCTGGCTGATGCGTGAGCGTTTTCTAAAACTCTCCCGCGCGACTCTCCACACACACACACAATCTCTCTCTCTCTCTCTTAACGCCTGTGTATATAATTTTTTTCAACATATAGTATTTTTAAGACTTTTTTTTTTCAATGAACACAGATGGAAAATACCTACTCGTACATATACCAAATATCCTGTAATAAATAGACAGTGAGGGAGAAAAGGGAGGGTAGAGAGAGAGGGAGGGTAGGGAGAGAGGGAGGGAGGGTAGGGAGAGAGGGAGGGAGGGTAGGGAGAGAGGGAGGAGAGGGAGGGAGGGAGAGACTAGCCAACGAGAGAGTATACAACCCGGACTCTATCCCCCGGTCGGACAGCCAATCAGATTAACGCAGCAAAATAATAAACGATTGAAACTTGATCGGTTATCACGCCCATGCAGAGATTCACAGGAGGATGAAGGGATAAAGCGGTCGTGTGAGAGAGAGAGAGAGAGAGAGAGAGAGAGACACACACACACACACGTAGAGAGGGATGGAAAGGAGATCTAGATAAATATAAAAGAATGGAGGAACAGGACGAGGAAGGAAGAACAGAAGGGAGGGTGTGTATAGGGAGGAAGAAGAGGAGAAGGAGGAGGAGGAAGAGGGGGAGGAGGAGAGTGATGATGTGTTTTGGTGGATGGAGAAATGTATCAAAGGGAGAGAGAGAGAGACAGAGAGAAAACAAGGAAAGACAAGAAAAGAGACCAAAAAACAGGAAGAAAAGAGACAGACAGATATATAGACAGACAGACAGACAGACAGATAGATAGATGATAGATAGATAGACAGACAGACAGACATCAGTACACATTAGCCATTAACATCAGTAAATAAAACTGGTCTTCGCGGCCAGTATGGTATGAGAGGGACTTTTTTAGCGTGGTAATCCTCCCCCTCCCTTCCCTCCCCTTCATCTGCTTTAGGAGAGACAGACAGAGAGAGAGAGAGGAGAGAGAGATAGAACCCTCCCATAAATAAAAA